GAAGAGTTTGGATTTGATATCCCGCTTTATCACTACCCTAAGGAGTCTCAAAGCGGCTAACATTCTCCTTTCCCTTCCTCCCCCACAACAAACACTCTGTGAGGTGAGTGGGGCTGAGAGACTTCAGAGAAGTGTGACTAGCCCAAGGTCACCCAGCAGCTGCATGTGGAGGAGCAGGGAATCGAACCCGGTTCACCAGATTACAAGTCCACTGCTCTTAACCACTACACCACACTGACTGTGGTTTTAACAAATTGTCAATTTCAAAACAAGCAAACCTTAAGCTATGGATTTTGAAGTTGGTTTCTTAAACTAAACTATAAATTGTTGTTGTTCAGTCATTTAGTAGTGTCCGACTCTTCGTGACCCCATGGACCAGAGCACGCCAGGCACTCCTGTCTTCTTGTTATAAATACCTGTCCTTGATTCAAATGATACGACAACCTGTCATAAACACTGACAAAGTCATTTTCCCAGCTGTTGGGGAAGAGGGGAAGGGAGAAAACAGGGCCGAATATCTCTTGGGCTCAGTCCAGCTCATGAACATTAGCATTGTCATGGTTTGGCACAAGAATGTGGAATCCCTGGTTTAGTATTATGTGTGAAGTGACTCAATATGTGCCTAGAATTACAAAATCACAGAATCTTAGAGTTGGATGGGACCCATCTAGTCTGACCCCCTGCAATGCAGGAATCTCGGCTAACAGATGGCCATCCAAACTCTGCTTAAAAACCTCCAAGGAAGAAGAGTCCACCACCTCCAGAGGGAGTCTGTTCCTTTGCCAAATAGCTCTTACTGTCAGAAGGTTTTTCCAAATGTTTAGTTGAAATCTCCTTTCTTGTAGCTTGCAGCCATTGGTTTGAGTTCTACCTTCCTGAGCAGGAGAAAACAAGCTTGCTCCATCTTCCATGTGACAGTCCTTTAGATATTTGAAGATGGCTATCATATCTCCTCTCAGTCTCCTCTTTTCCAGGCTAAACATACCCAGCTCCCGCAACCATTCTTCATAAGGCTTGGTTTCTAGACCCTTGATCATCTTGGTTGCCCTCCTCTGCACACGTTCCAGCTTGTCAACATTCTTCTTAAATTGTGACACCCAAAACTGGGCACAGTATTCCAGGTTTGGTCTGACCAAGGCAGAATAGAGCTGTACTATTGCTTCCCTTGATCTGGGCACTATTCTTCTGTTGATGCAGCCTAGAAGAGCATTCCCTTTTTTGCTACTGCATCACACTGTTGACTCATGTTAAGCCTGGTGGCCAACCAAGACCCCTAAATCCTTTTCACATGTACTGCTGGTAAGCCAAGTGCACCTGGTTCTTCTTGCCTAAGTGCAGGACTTTACATTTGTCCCTATTGAAATTCATTTTGTTAGATTGGGCCCAGTTCTCCAATCTGTTAAGACATTTCGAATTTTGATTCTGTCTTCTGCAACATCAGCTACCCCTCCCAGTTTCATGTCATCTGCAAATTTGATGCACATCCCTTCAATTCCTTCATTCAAGTTGTTTATAAAGACGTTGAACAACAATGGGCCCAGGACAGAACCCTCTGGGTTTAGTCAGTCAACCAGCTACAAATTATTTAACAGTTACCTCGTTCAACTCACATTTTACCAGCTTCCTCTTGAGAATATTGTGGGGGACTTTATCAAAAGCCTTACTTAAATCAAGATACACTATGTCCACAGCATTTCCCTGATCCACCAGGTTTGTAATTCCATCAAAAGAAGAACTCAGATTGGTCTGGCAAGACTTATTTCTGAGAAACTCATGCTGGGCTTTAGTAATCACAGCATCCTTTTCTAAATGCTCACAGACCAACTGTTGAATTATCTGTTATAGGACCCTCTCTGGTATTGATGTCAAGTTCATCAGTTGGTTGTTACCTGGGTCCTCCTTTCCCCTCTTTTTGAAGATGGGAATAATATTTGCCCACCTCCAGTCTGTCACCTACATTTAATTTGCTAAATTAGGCCTTTAATCCATATAGGGAAGCAGGATTTTGTTGATGAACACACATTCGATTCTACTCACTAGGAAAAGCAGTGAGCAGAGTATTTCCTTAATAGATAGTCCAGCTCCTAAACAGACTCCTAGGTCTAGAAAGAGACTGTTGAAAGATATATAGATACGGTGCACCGAGTTTAATGTTGCCCATAGCAAAACAGAACACACACACTCTAGATACTATATATTTACTTATTTATTCCCCAGCAACATCTTTCCTTACTGCATAGTATCTTAGGGCTCATAGTAAAATATATCTTTCAAATATTTATCAGGTGTCTCCTTCGGAGGGTAATGGCTTCAACTCTTCTCTCCAGGGCTGAAACTGAAATGCATCCTTAGTGACCTAGAAAACAGTAATCTAAGACTGTACAGAGAGGTAGAATTGCAGAAGTCCAGGCTCAGCAAGCATGTCAACCTCTTAAATACATGTTTACATGCATGTTTGGGGCCCATTAATAGTCTAAGAATCTTGCAGAGTCAGACATAAAAATCAGATATCCCAGACATGCCTTTCTCAACCTTGGGTCCCAGGATGTTGTTGGACTACAACTCCCCTCATCCCAGGCCACTGCTCCCGCTAGCTAGGGATGATGGGAGCTGTAGTCCAGCAACATTAGGGGACCCAAGGTTGAGAAAGGCTGCTCTAGACTTTATATGCTTCTGCTTGGCACCAGAAGTTTCCTTCAAGTAGGAACAGTAGCAGCAAGGAGTCTAGTCCTGGTTGTTGCCTGCACCCAAAAGAAGCACCAGCCTAGTTGAACTGCTTGCTGCTGGAACCTCCTTTTCCCAATGGAGATAGGGACAGCAATAGGAGCACATTGTGTGCACAGACTGGGAGAAGGACCAAACCAGCTGCTTAGCCCAGGCTTCCTCAACCTCAGCCCTCCAGATGTTTTGAGACTACAATTCCCATCATCCCTGACCACTGGTCCTGCTAGCTAGGGATCATGGGAGTTGTAGGCCAAAACATCTGGAGGGCCGAGGTTGAGGAAGCCTGGCTTAGCCTGATAGTTCTGCAAGATTCCCTGATACCTGTGCATTTGCTCTCCATCCTGAAGCAATGGAGGATCCTGTTGCATAGAAAGTGGGGCACAGAAGAGAGCCTGGGAACTGTGCGGGCTGGTCCATTTGGGCAAATGGGGCACTGACCCAGAAAAAAGGGCCCTAACAGTGTAAGACGAAGAACTGAGATCCAAGGGACGGATAGTATAGAACTTTTTTAGCAGTTTACCTTTCTGGATTACTGTGCAAAAATGTGCAATTACTATGAAACTGTTGTGGAGGATCTGAACTCCTATCTCCCTCTTTGCCCAGACATCCAGAGCAGCAGTTGCAAGGCACCTATATTTATGACTGCTGGAGAAATGAAATTTCCCATCCACCTAGCATTTTGAATCACCAAGGAAGGAAGGAAGGAGTGTGGCTGGGAAGCAGTTGCTGAAAAGTACCATATTTTTCGCTCGATAACACGCACCTGACCATAACACGCACATAGTTTTTAGAGGAGGAAAACAAGAAAAAAAAAATTATGAATGAAACAGTGGATGTATCATTTTTGTGCTTCATGCTGTGGCCACAGACATGTGATTTGACGGTGAGTTTGGGGTAGCCCAATGCAAAGATCCTGAGAATCCATGTGGATCTGTGCTTTGTAACCACGTTTTTGCACCATTGCAGCCCCAGGCAACAGTGGGTGCGTGATTTTTTTGGTGCAGGCTGTAGCCATGGACATGCTATGTGATCTGATGGTGAATTTGGGGTGACCCAATGCAAAGATCCTGAGGATCCATGTGGATCCGTGCTTTGTAACCACGTTTTTGCACCATTGCAGCCCTGTTTTTGCATCAGATCATTGCTATGTGATCTGATGGTGAATTTGGGGTGACCCAATGCAAAGATCCTGAGGATCCATGTGGATCCGTGCTTTGTAACCACGTTTTAAGTGGGGAGGGAAGGAAAAACATAGAAGGGACAAGGAGCACCGAGAGGGGTGTGCGGAGAAGCAGCTGGCTAAGAATGCAGGAGAGGAGTTTTACCAGAGGGAGGAAAGGAAGGCAAAAGTTCCCCCCACGCACCCACCCAAGCCAGCCAGCTCTCTCTCTCCCCCTCCCACCTGCATGTTGCAGCACCGGAGCACGGAGAGGAATTAGAAGGAAGGACGCTCTGCTTTCCCCTCTGCTTGCCTGGAGGGGAGGGATTTTCTCTGCTCTTTGTTCCGTTTGAGCAAACACAGTAACAAACAGAAGCGGGTGGGCAGTAAGACCCTGAGGCAGAATGCAGGAAAGCAGCAGCTTCCTCTTTTCAAGGCTTCCCTTCTCCGGACGATTGATATTTGTCTGATTTTTGCCTTCACTCGCGCCTGTCGGCTCTAGGGACCACACATTCGCTCAATAACACGCGCAGACATTTCCCCTTACTTTTTAGGAGAAAAAATCTGCGTGTTATAGAGGGAAAAATACGGTAATTTATTTTCCGAGGTCTTTCCAAGGCACTTAAACAATAAGATGTTTTCTTTTAAGCTTATTTTGCCATTGACCTAATGGATGCCATTCTATTCTAAATTGTAATTTTATTTTACTTCTCTTTTGTTGTACACCGTCTTCTTTTTGTGTATGAAGGAATAAATTTAAATGTAATGGGCTGGATTTGACTAACTCATTCTGCTGATAGAAGCCAGTGCAAGGACTTCTGCTAGTGCAGCAAACTTTTGTCCTTCCCTCCCTCTTGTGTGACCCCCACACCTTCCCCCAATCCACTCTGAATGATTGGGAGAACCCCCTGAATATCATACAGGGGAGGAGGGTGAGTATCATTCCATGGGAAAAGCCGAAGAATTTGCTCTGACAGAACACTCTCCGTAGCACTATGTTGAATTCCACACAATAATTTAATTACTAATTGTTAACAAAATAAATAAATATAACACACATATACACATGGGTAGGTAGCCGTGTTGGTCTGCCATAGTCGAAACTAATTTTTTTTTTCTTCCAGTAGCACCTTAGAGACCAACTAAGTTTGTTATTGGTATGAGCTTTCGTGTGCATGCATACTTCTTCAGATACGAAAGCTCATACCAATAACAAACTTAGTTGGTCTCTAAGGTGCTACTGGAAGAATTTTTTTTTTTTTGTTACACATATACACACACACTGCAGGAATCATGCCTAAACCCCAAGCATGTTGATAAACCCTCACAGAGCATGAAGCCGCTTACGACATTCCAAAAGCATAGTGGGCTGGGCTTTTGCCAAGCCTGCCCTGAAAAAGAAAGGAAAATACACATGCTAATCTGTATGAAAGTACATGAAACCCTAAATCACTTTAGTATTATTAGAGGACTGGTTACACTGTTCAGTGAAAGGGCCCAATGCAGTTTTGATAGACTTGTTACAAACATCTGATTGCCCCTGAGTAGATTAGACAATAAACTCCTGTCTTGGTGTTTGCATTGTTCAACTCCCACTCTGCAATCTGTAAATTAGAATTCCAGACCTCAGAGATTGGATTCAAATTGGATTACTGGATCTGGTCCAGGTTGGGAAGGGTGGGGGAAAAACAATTTGGAGAAAACAGAGGGAAGTATGCAGCCACACACACTTGAACACATACACTAATGAAATAAACACACAGACAGAGACAACAAGCCAGGATTTGATTAGGAGTAAATTAAAAATATAATTAAAACAAAAACCCCAACCAACCAGCAATTAAAGAAGAAGTGGGAAAAGGGATGAATTGTCACTATTAATTAACAAAACAAGGAGATTATACCTTTAAATGTTGTTTTTCTCCAATTTAGGCTATGTGGGTTTTTAAGACAAGTGCTCAGCAGAAGAGACTAATTTCCATTTCTATTGTTGGGTAGGCTTATGTGCTTCCAGAGACTGCATCTGTGTATTGTGTCAATAGAACCTCTGCCTCCTAAGTTTCAGGAGAAATGTGATGAGAAGACAAACTTTTTTTGCTACTCCATCTGAATCTTATACATGGTCTAAATTCTATGGCGTAATTATGAAAGCTAGAGTTTTCGCCTAAGCCTGCCACTGGCCTCCTATGTAATTTAGAAAAAAGTCACTTCCAGTGCTTCCAGTTATCTGTACTGTATTTGTGTTTGACCTATTTAGCTGTACTTTGCTGCCTCTCACTTTCTATATGATGTGCAAAACCAGTTGGCCCTCAAGTGTGGAGCAACTGAAAAAGAAAACATATTTGTTTTATCCATAACCAAAATTTTAGTTCAAGTCAGTGAACGTGGCTCACACTTTTAATTTGCAAAACAGTTCTGTGAGGCAGAGCTCAGAATGACTGGCCCAAAGTCACCTAATCAACTTCATGGATGAGTAAAGATTTGAACCTGGGTCTTCCCAGTCCTAGCTGGACATGCTAACCACTGCACAGGCTCTTGTAGATTATTTCTTCTTGTACAGCTTCTCTATGTACAGTGGTGCCTCGCAAGACGAAATTAATCCGTTCCGTGAGTCTCTTCGTCTTGCGGTTTTTTCGTCTTGCGAAGCACGGCTATTAGCGGCTTAGCGGCTATTAGCGGCTTTGCGGCTTAACGGCTATTAACGGCTTAACGGCTTAGCGGCTATTAACGGCTTAGCGGCTTTAAGAAAAAGGAAACAAACTCGCAAGAACTCGCAAGACATTTCGTCTTGCGAAGCAAGCCCATAGGGAAATTCATCTTGCGGAACGACTCAAAAAACGCAAAACCCTTTCGTCTAGCGAGTTTTTCGTCTTGCAAGGCATTCATCTTATGGGGCACCACTGTAGCTTAAAAGGTGCAAAGACGCAGTGCAAATAACCTAGGTTGGGTTCATTTTGAGCTTTTGGGCAAGTAGCTTAGAGCCCCTCTACTGCACAGCCTCTCTATCTTACTTCTCCAGAATATAAGCAAAACAAAACCTCAGCAAATTACTTTTGTAAGGTACAACACCAAGCTACCGACACCAGCTTGGAGCAGGCTTTCACCCCAAATTCAGCAGCACAACCATCTCTGTAATGAGCCAGACTATTCTTAGCTGCTAACTGTGATAGGGCCACAAGGCACTCTTAAAAGCGAGACAAATCCTATTCTGTGACACGTCAGTTTTTTCATGGCATTAAAAACAATTTCCTGTCAGAAAGTTGAAGCACTGAGAAAGACGTCACTTAATACATGTAAGGAAAATAATACAATTATAAGTGCTGTTAAAAGGATGCACCTGCCCACACTAAATGCTCAAGATAAGCAACAGTTGAGCTTGAGATTGATAACTTCCAACTGAACTAAAACAGACCGAAGAGACAGCAGATTTCTGCTGGTGGAGAAATTCGGTTTGGGGGGGAAATAAGAAACTGAAATAAAACAAAACTAACAGATCCATCCCTAACTACATCAGGTAGGAAGGTTGGATGTGGCGGTGATTCCAGGATCCCCTTCTTAAAAGGTTTATATATATATGGGTGTCACTGGCCACACACTGAAAGGTCGTCCATGAACTACCCTGTGTGCGGGGATATGGGCTTGGCTGCCTGCTACACTTACATCTCGCAGAACACCCCCGTATCCCATTTACCCTGATGAGCCCCAGTTCCCCCCAGCTGGGGGGCTGGGAGGGATACACGCCCAAGGCCTAAGCCAAGGTCTTCCTACATTCAGAAGTTTAATAAAGTTGTGGCCTAATTTTAATTCCATATAACATTGTCAGAGTCTTTATTCCTTCCTTATGATCTCTGGGGGCTGGGGCTGTCGCCACTTGGTCACGCAAAACAAAACTAACAGATCCATTCCTAACTACACCAGGTAGGAAGGTTGGATATCTAGCCTTGTTCTTGACATTTCATTTTTCTATGTGAAGGGTTCTTTGAGGGAGAGCATCCATACATGCAGCCCTCTGCACCCAGTCTGTGTATAGTCAAAAAACAAAAATAAAAAACTGCACTACTTGATTCTAATGATTGCATAAACTGGCCAAGCTTTGAGCATTTGGTGTTGGCAGACTAGAAACACAGAAATAAGCACAGGTTCAAGACATATCACCCTCCCTTCTCTACCTTATGAACACACATACTCATAAACTCCAATCCTCCCAACAGAAGGTAAAGGTATAGATGCTTTTTATTTCTGCTGTTCGCACTCATCCTTCTCCATACCATAATCTAGATAACTACTGCCAACACAATGCTGAGGCACAGCATGATTAAGTAAGCTATTCAGAGTCGCAGTCAATGTAAATATGAGGTAAAAACAAGTTTCCTCCTAAAACTGCACTCCAAATATAACCTCACACATTTTCTGCATTTTAAAACAAAGCAAGGATGCTTTTAGACAACACATTTACCTCTTGCTGAAGTGTGAAATTGCATCTCAGAGAGCTCCAGTTACAACATCCATTTTGATGGGGTAACAATTCATGCACTTTAACTTGGTTGGTTTTGCCACAAAGAGAATCCTGAGCTGACCACATAAGAACTCCTGGACTGAACAATGTCCCAAACATTCTTCAACTGCACCTAAAGCATACAGGAAGCAGAAACAGACTACCAATTTTGATGGTTTCAGAACTTTCCTGTGATTGGTCAGTATAGGCACAAGGATTACTAACTGGTTGCTTAAGATTCTTCTACCATTTCTTTCTGGGAGATCACATTTTCCTAGATATTTTGTTATTGGGAAAATGTGAGAGTCAGGCTTCACCTTCTCTTGAACCACAGTGCAAGAGGGAAAGAGAATCCAAATTCAGAGCTGAGTTCCAACTATAGAGGGACTTGTACCAGAGGTTCTGCTATCAAAGAGATAAAGCCAGAGTGACTCTGCTCAGCTGCCAAACTGGATTAAGGACAGAGCGGGAATCTTGAAGAGAGCACAAAACACCTTGGGGCCTTTCTGTTATTGCCCCTCTCTGCAGTCCCAAATTCCTCTATCTCATATTACTGGACAAGATGAAGCCAGTGATAAAAACATCAACTTAGACAGCAGTCTTTATTCAGGTCACAGAACAGAAATTGTACACTTCAAGGCATAACCTCCAGTAAACTATGGAATATGCAGAATTCATAAGGCAAAGTAAATTGTCTGCGGCCCAACACATTACGTGAAAAATTAATAAGCATCAGCTGTCAAACAAGACATGGGGGCAGGGGGAGAGAATTATATTCAAATCAGCACATATTTAATTCAGAACTTCAAATGCCCATCCCACATTCTTTTGCACAACTTTTACGCAACACATTGAATGCACTGGAGTAAGTCCTATAGGAATCAGGGGCTTACTTGTGAGTAGACATTGCACTGTTACACCAGCATTTTCAGGTATAACTAGAAGCAATCTACCCTTTGGAGAGGGAAAGATAGTAAATATTAATAAAATTCTAAGGATGCAGCTTATCTATACTATACTATACTATACTATACTATACTATACTATACTATACTATACTATTATTAGCGTACTACTATTAATTTATTTATACCCTTCCTTTTTCCTTGACTAGGCTCAAGGTGGCTTGCAGAAGTACTGCTAAACATAGAAAAACCAGTCATTAAAATCTGGATGCACTCTGGAATTGAGTGCACTGAATCTTCAACAAATTTGGAGTATAGCTCCTATTTTGGCTGCTACTGCTTATCAGAAGCACACCCCACAGTAATATAGCCCTCCAGTTCCTACACCAGAACAATGGAAAAGAGTGAAGAATGCTTGCATTGGATGAGGTGAAACAGACGGATGTCCCAAGAACTTTGCCAAAACTACCTGCCCTGCATTCACTCCTGCTCATCATCCCAATTTGGCTCAATGAATATAACTTTATTTTTTAAATCACCACTTTCATGAGTCATGGATATAATAAGCAGAATGAGTCTGAGGTCAAGATATATTCTCACTTGGGAGGGAGTCAGTGCCATAGAAACAAGACCCTGATCCTTGCTATTTATAAATCTAAGAAAAACCCAATCAGTTGCATTCCTTAGCAACTTGCTGTGCTGCTGTGTTGGAAGTAAAGTATGGCTATAACAACTAGGGGTGTGCATTTAGTTCAAATGAATTCTGAGCCAAGTTGGGCACATTCAAAGAGTTTTGGGACTCTCCCAAGGTGAAACAGGTTTTCGTCTTGACATATTCCAAACTGAACTGGGATGTTCTCAAAGCCTTGGGGCCATTTTGGAAGATAAGCTTTGCAAACTACATAGTTCACTCACATATACACAGTGGTACCTCGGGTTACATACGCTTCAGGTTACAGACGCTTCAGGTTACAGACTCCGCTAACCCAGAAATAGTACCTCGGGTTAAGAACTTTGTTTCAGGATGAGAACAGAAATCGTGCTCTGGCGGTGCGGCGGCAGCGGGACGCCCTATTAGCTAAAGTGGTGCTTCAGGTTAAGAACAGTTTCAGGTTAAGAACGGACAGTCCGGAACGAATTAAGTACTTAACCCGAGGTAACACTGTAGTGCCCAATTCTAAAGCAGGACAGGATTTCTGCACCGTTAATAGTTGTGTAGAAGAGAGAATTTTGGCTGCTACAGCTTTCGCCACATGCTGCATGACAAGCTATCTTCACCAAAATTTTCGCTTCTATAGCGGTTAAAGATGCACAAGCCTGTTTGCTCTTCACACGTGGTAAGCCTGGCCTAGAAATCAGAAGCTAGAGTAAATTCCAACTTCCCCAAAGTATCTCCTGACCCCCCTAAGTTCTAGCGGCAAGAGAATCATTGTAGAAATAATGGCGATCTGTCATGGATGCTGTAATTGAGATCCCTGCATTGCAGGGCACTTGGGGTCCCTTCCAATTCTACAGTTCTGTGATTCTATGAATGGTAGCTATTGCATAAGAAGTTCCTAGCAGTCTTTGGGTGGATCAGAAGGTGGAAGGAGGAGAGATGGTCTTCTCCTCACACTAGTTGCTGGCAAAGGCTTTCCTAGCGCCATGCTTGGTAACTGGAAATTTAATATTGTTCTTTCTCTGCAGTGGGACAGTGTTGCCTGGAAACTTACCAGGGCAAAGTCCATTTGACACATGTCATTGTTGCAACATGGGCCATTTTGGCTTGGAGAATGGTGTCACTACTGTGTCTTGCATGGTGCCAGGCATACCGTTGACACTAAATGTTAGTAGCAGCTGTAGTAATTATTAGGAACACATGATGTATTTGTCTCCTTTCAAACATCCATGTGAACTAAAAACCAGGTATAAAGAACAGATGAGGTGACAGGAATACAAGGCCTAAGTCTACTGGTATCAATATCAGTAGTCACCGTCATTAATCCTTACACTGTCTGGTCAGTTAAGCTTTGCCTACCTTGGCTAACTCATACTAATCAACTCAGCTGCTGTGCACAGAATACAGGCTGTGATTAAGAATGTTAGGTGTGAAAGAGGGAATGGCGTGAAAATATTACACCAACTGAAATTATTTATATATATATATATATATATATATATATATATATATACTCTCTCTCTTTCTATATATATATGGATATAGATAAGGATATATATGTGTGTGTGTGTGTGTGTGTGTGTATACACACACAGTATATGGGTGAGAAGGAATCAGCACATGCTATTGCTGGGCTTTGAAAACTTCCATTGCTGAGTTTATTGGTGCCGACCACACTTTTGCATAATTGCAACTTAATATGTATGTACTTTATCTTACTGCTGCTGCTTTTGAGGATCTGGCTGATCTGTTTTGGCCGTACTGGCCGTATCACCATTGAAACATTTACTTAAAAAGTAAACTGATATTTTGATATGTACTGTTTTATTCTTGCTGTTCTATTTTCTGAATTGCTTTGGGTAATTCCATGAATTTTTGTGGGAAAGCAGCATGGAAGTTGTAATAATAATGATAACAAACCACCATTATGATACTCATGAGTTGAAAACTATATATGCAGAAGCTTCCATTATAGGAAATGAAACGGATAATGCATAGGACCGCATAAATATAAAAGCCCTTTGCTAAACCCAAAAGTCCTCAATGTGATGATTTCTAATCAGAAAAAGTTAAGTAGTAATGCCAGATACCTGCCCATCATCACATAAAGGGTCAGCTTCACCTATCATTATAGCTTAATCTTGTTGGCTTGCTTCAGCAGTAATATAACATTTATTCCTTCATTTAGGAAGGAAGTGATACAGTGGAAAGTTAGACTGAAAATGTACACCAAACCCCAAGAGGACAACGAACTGTACATCTTATCAAAGGACTCAGAATACTTTCTGCCCCTCACCCCCATGAGTTGCTTGCATGTGAGCACAATGGATTACAGCTCCCAAAGGAGAATAAAAGGTCACTTCTCTGAAGAACTCAGGGTAGGCAGGAAACTGAGATTCAGACATGTCAGGGAAGAGTGTTTCATTAGTCATGTTAAAAATGATCTCTAATTGCAACCCCTTGCATGACAGAGATACCAAGAACAAAAAAGGCACTTGGGCTGAATAGCAGTTATCCTTGGAATTTCATAAAATTCCCCAACTCTATGGCTCACAAACATTGTTTGAATCATTCTGAATAAAGGATTCATCAGCTGGAGACTATGCAAATACTGGAATGTTGTCATACATACCAGCTCCATATTGCTCACTCCCTCTTCCACCAGACACACCAATCAAGGCTAATGCTCCAAGAAGCCACCTTACCTTCAATGCCTGGACTTTCTTGGCCAACAGACTCTCAATGTCCTCTGCCACCTTTTCCACTATTTTCTCTGGGACATTCTCTCTTACATCAAACAGGCTCTTTTTTTCATCGTAGATCTGTTTAAAGATATTAAGATGGGGGGGGAGGGGGAGAAGAGAAATGGATATTTTGAGAAACAGCTATATACACACATACACACCAGCTTTAAGAAAACGTATTTTAGGAACTAAAGACTATGAAGTGTTCATACAAATAGCAATCATATGCCCAAGACCTGTAAGTACTGTTAGAAATGTTGTGCTTTTCCATGGATTAAGAGAGAGAGAAAGACAGACAGACAGACAAAAAGCCACCATATCCCTGTCCCAGAAACAACACAAAAAAAGTAAAGAAATGAATGGCTGTCAGATGCTCAGACCACTACAGTGGGAGCCATCATGAATTACTGTGGAAGAGAAGACAAATGAAATGATATTTGCCATCCCAATGCTAAGGCAGCCTTAAATAACCAACCAACCGGCAGAGGGTGGGGTGGGTAGCACTGAAGGTGCAAAGGAGACTAGTAATAATTCTCTGAAACAGGAGGTTGTGCCTGAATGCCCAGTTCAGCTTGCTGATCTCCGTGAGATTTCCCACTTTCCCCCCTCTTTTCTGAATATTCTTTCACTGTCACAGACTGAGCATGCCACACAGTCAGAAGCCTTTGAAACAGAGTTTCTCATTTTCTTGGGATAGTCAGATTGCCCCCAAGCCTCAATCAGAAAAGCACTTCATGAAATGCCACGTATGCCCAACCCACTTTATGAAAACCAGCATACTGCCCTCATCCCTCCCACTGTGCATATAATTTAGTGGGGATGGAGACTAGCAGCAGATGGTACATGGCTGAAGGTGGTAGGAAGTGTAAGCAGAGCTTAAAACAGACAGAAACAGGTTGGTATGATAAAAGGCCTGTAAGAAGGGAAGGAAATAGTCAGGTAAATAAATACAAAACAGTGCAACATTAATCTGTATGGATAGATAGATAGATAGATTACATATAACACAAGAACTGTCATACCCCTTGGGTTATATTTGATGGTGACTTGAAATATGTTTGGATCGAATTCAGCAATGGGGATGGACTAGCATTTTGCACCAGAGAAACCAACTAATTCAACAACCTAATGGACTCCTCTCACAATGTTATCACTAAGCTTCAGAATTAAAGCTTCTCTTCACCAACATCCAAACTACATACCACTTATACAAATGGTGTAAATAGTGGCCAACAGAAAGGTGGGGAAATAATAAAATCAATACATGGTGTGGCAGCAGGATTGTCCTCACTTTTAGACCCTTTTAGACACTTTTAGACTTCAACGCCTTGGCCATAGCAAGTGAAACAAATGTGTGCAGGAGTTCAGTGTGAATAAAGTAAACCTGATAACTTACAATCTTTACCTGGCAAAATGTGTGTGTGTGTGTGTGTGTGTGTGTGTGTGTGTGTTTAGGATAAAATGTGTAGCCAATACACATTGCACTCTACACACACATGAGCCACTGATACATTACATTCAATCTGTAGAGGTCAGCTTGCCTAGGGGCAATCAGGCAGAGACAAACCAGGTGAGCGCAATCCCATTTCACAACTGTGCATCTATTTTACAGAGTGTGCTCAGCATGTGAATAGGGCTACTGCTAACAGAATAAAGGAAAGCTTTGAGAATCAATTACAGAAATAGATTTTTGAAGTTTGCAATCCAAGCTGCTTATGAAGGGCTACGAACACCCAACATGGCAATGTTTTGTTTTTTCAGATGTTGTTTATCGCTAGTTGCCCCTTCCATACATTTCTTGAAACTGCCTTTGACCTGCTGTGTGAAATGGCTGCTCAGCAAACAGCAAGCTCCATCCTAATAATGTAAAGGCAGCTGGAAGTGAATTGATGTGTCTGAATAACAAACCCTAGTCCTTCTGCATGCCAGACGTGTGTGTGTATGCGTGCATGCATGCAAGGTGGGGGAATACTTTGCAGAAGCTGTTAAGCAACAGAACTGAACATAACTGATTCTCATAGTCTCTCTTACTTCCCTTCTCTTCCCATGCCCTATTATTCCTTGGGTAAACAACAGCATAACAAAATAATGTGTTTTGAAGGCACACTGGCTCCAGCTGAGCAGCAGCAATTAGGGAAGCAAAAGAAAAGGAGCAATCTTCAAGGAGAAAGCTTCAGATGCAGAGGGCATCCTGACATCAGTATTTTCCTATTATGAAATGGCAAATCTGCTCCCATTGGTTGTAGCTAGCCTTGCCCATGAAAAATGATGAGGGTGTGTTGTGCTTTTATGACATTGTGCCCTAATGCTGTCTGTCTTAAATAGTGAGGTAAGTCTATTAATTCAGTAGGGTTTACTGGAACATTTCAGTAAGGTGACAGTAACCAAATATTGTATGCATTTTTTATAGAGGGCACGTTGAACTATTATAATAACATAGTGGAGTGTGCTCATTATTGCAGAACAGATTGCTCTTGTTAAACAGCCAGCAGTATGGATGCTCATACAGAGAAAATGACGCTTATGTTGCCAGTGACTATTATCACTGAGCTTATCCCTAATCCTTGTCCTTAGTATTACATGCCCCTCTAACTACTGAAAAGTGGAACTGGTAGATATTGTATACTTGGGACTTCCAATAAGCTTTTGACAAAGTCCCTCACCAATGGCTCCCGAGTAAACTTAGCAGCCAAGGGATAAGACGCCAGGTCTTGTAATGGACAGACAACTGGTTAAAGAGCATGAAGCAGAAAGTAAGAATAAATGGACAGTTCTCTCAGTGGAGGGGTATTAGAAGTACCAAGAAGGCCAGTTCAACTGGAACTCTACACAAACCCCAAGACCATGTGTTTATTTTTGTTTCACTAAGCAAGGAGCGTGGTGTTAGAGAAAGTAATTGGAGGAAGCTAAAGCCAAGTATAAGTGCTGCTTAAGCTCAGTATCATTTATTTAGAAGTTCCTGCTGTAGTTAGGACTTTTCCTACAGTAACTGATATGCATAATGAATCATGTATATGCATGCCTAATTAAACCTCCCAAACCAGTGACATATCTAATGCAGGTAAAGCCTCTAACCTGGCTATTAATTATGCCTTGTGATCAATGGATTTCCTCCAGAAAGCACAACTCACTCTAATTAAAATATGTACCCTTGTTTGCATGTCCTGAGAATTTCAAGCTTGACCCCTGCAGTGGACACAATATCCCTTAAAGCAGTATTCTTTGACCTCGTGTTCCCAAATGTTGTTGAACTACAACTCCTACTATCCTCATCCAGGCTGGCTCAGGGATGATGGGAGTTGTAGTCCAACAATGTCATCTTGGAAGCATGGTTTTAAAGAAGCCATTTTGGCATTAGGTTTTACTGTAACAATGCTTGCACCATAATGGTTGCTAACATGCACAGTAGTATAGAAATACTATATCTTCTGAAAGCCTGGGTGAGATCTTTTTAAAAATTAAATATCACATCATGAAACAATGGGCTTTGTCAAGATTGCCTCAGTATGCAATCTTAGCCCATTGTAGCCTCAGTTACAACATAACAAAACTATGCTCCCAACGTTGTATGCTTCCAACTGTTCTAAAAAAAAATCTCTGCACGACAGAAATTATCTTCCTTACAGACGCTGGAGACCTCTGCCACAACAGGCAGTGATGCCCATTAGCCTACATGCCTTTAGAATATTCAGACAAGTTAATAAATGATCAGTCTATCAACAGCTATTAGCCAAATGGATAGCTAAATGGATCCTCCATATTCAGAAGTACTGTATCTGGTTACCAGATGCTGAGAGCCAACTGTCAGGGAAGGCCATCAACCCCTTGCCCTGGTATATCAGCTGCTAGGCACACTATTAAAAATAGATCACTATTGGAAACTGATCACTGCTGGAAACAGAATGCTGGACTGGATGGATCTGGGTGGTCCAGTTTGGAGATTCTTCTATCCTACTATTTCACAACCAGGGAATCAACTTAGCAGGTGGGTGAATGAGGTCACACACCAGACTATTCCCAGACGCAAGCAGTGTTCAGTACTTGAGACAATGTCAGAAAGAACATGATTCCCAACTCGTGGTTGCCCCATAACCGTAGTGTTCTTAAATTTCATCAGCTGATGCTTGTATCTCATAGTGTGATCACAAGCATAGTGCCATCTATATTATGCTAACAGGATGTCAGGTTCTGTGTAACATCAGAGACAATGAAGCAGGCAGTGGCAAGAGTGACAGCAGGCTTCATTGCCAGCTTACCAGAACAGTTTCTGCTGCTGGTAGCCTGTTATGTGGAAATCGCCACATACCACTGTAGTGGCAAATTGGGGAGTGGTGCAGCTAGGGCTGGGCCACAGCCAGCATCTCCCCCATGAGCAAATAGCAGCAAATGAAGGGGACATTGGCAAAAAGGTCAGCAAGGATATGCCAGTGTCTATTTGGGCTGATAGTGGTCACTGCAGAATCCTTCTTTTTAAATGTATTATATATTTTTTTGGCAGGGGGTGGGGAGACAACTGGCCAGACATATAAATGATCACAGATGCTCACTGTTTTATTTTTAATATAAAAATGCACTATATTTTTAATACAGCAAATGGTGCTTATTCCCAAGTAAATATGTTCGCCACCAGGGCAGCAGAAGCAAACCACATTGATTCCTGCAGCCATGAGGGTGCTATAAATTAAGTGAGTTTAAAATGCAAAACGTCACATGCTCAGAGTGTTGTTGCTTTTTTAACACAGAACTGGCAAACTGTATGGTTTGGGGTTTTTTTACTCTGACATATTAGGGATGCAAAAGCAGTTAGTTGTAAAGCATGGAATGGTGGTGGAAAAGAAGTAATGCACAAGGCTGCCTAAAGGGGGTACCCAAGAGATTAGGAAGTTGAAGGTGTAAAACAGGTATCCCCAAACTCAGCCCTCCAGATGTTTTGGGACTACAATTCCCATCATCCCTGACCACTGGTCCTGTTAGCTAGGGATGATGGGAGTTGTAGTCCCAAAACAGCTGGAGGGCCAAGTCTGGGGGCGCTTGGTGTAAAACTACCTTGAATTCAGCACAGCTGAGATGGAGACTGAGACATATGCAGGTGGGGAGGAATTAGGAAAGAAGTAGCTATTTGGAAGGGGGCAACAACAACAGGAATGGGAAATAAGCAAACACATGCATTCTGGAGAACAAACGCTGAAGAAGAGACAAAACGGTGGCAGATTTAGGCTGCTGCAGTCTAGCCTGTGTTGCTCGGAAAATGCATATCCCCCTTTGTGCATCATGTGACATCAGTCCAAGCTGCAGCAGCATTGCAAGTCTTCCCGCAGCCTCAGTCATGCCAGTCCAAGATGCTGGTTGCTCTCCGCTCTCAGAGGGGAGTATAAGCCAATTTTAGACAGGATGCACATGATTCAGGGACCAAACTACTGCCACGTAAACAGGCCTGGAGAATGAACCACGCCCACTGCATCCTGTAGTAGTACATCCTTTAAGTAAGAAACCTGATCCTGGAGAGCTGGAATGCTCATGAGAGATTAAAAGAAAAGATGGGGGGAGGCCGACATTAAAGAAAATGCTTTCTTCTCACTCACCTTGCAAGCAGTTTTCCTCCTACCTACTGAACAATAAAAAGACTGTTCTAGCAGTTCTTTGCAAAATAAATAAATGAGAGAGAAACAGGGAGATTGTTATAGAAATAAGTGTACAGTTAAACTGATCCTCAGGGACAAGAAACCCAATGAACAAAAAATCATGCAACACTTATAAAGCCGTAACAGGAGAAAGAGAAGATGCTAGGAGTTTAGCTTACCTAAAGCAATTGTGCTTTTTCCTATACAAATCCATGTTCTTACCTTTTACTAGCCCCCCATATTCCTGCCCAAAGAACTGCCTGAAGCAAGTTAATAAGAGTTGTCATTTCTATCCTGAGGGATGAGAGGAAAGGACCACTGCTCATTTACATATGTATCTGAATATATACAAATGAGCATTTCCTCACTTCTTACCATAGGACTGACCTGAAAGCACCAGCCAGATTACAAAAGATGCAGCTAGGCCAATTTAAAATGTCACCAGATGACAATCCTATGACAAGCAAGCACTGCCTGTGCATATCAAAACGACAGCTACCAATACCTGAACTAATTAGTCTGAATAATTATTAAACATTTTGTTCAGCCCTAACAGTGGGCTAGGTGCCTTCAGATAAACGAGACATTTAAACAGGACAGGAAAATAGGTTTCCAGATGGAGAGGTCAAAATTAGAAACAGAACTGTTAGAACCCAATACTAAGAATCTGTCGAGAATGTATAATCTGCTGTTGAAATGGAACACACAGGATGAAACGGTGAAATCAGCTATGATAAAATGGGCACAAGACATTGGTCATAACATTATGTTTGCTGACTGGGAACAGCTGTGGACCACCGGTACTAAATTTACGGCATGTAATGCCTTAAGAGAAAACATTATGAAAATGAT